CGGTGCCGGGCGGTCGGGGGCCTCGCGGCCACGTGCGGGCCCGGCGGCACTGGAGCGCGCTTGCGGCTGGGCGCCCAGGCGTCGAGAGGCTTTATTTAAGAATGCTGTTTCGCACCCTCCTTTTCTTGGCGGTGACGGGACGTGCGGTCCCGCTCCCCGTTATGTACGGAGGCAGAGGAAGAGGGCTCCGGCCTCCTCGGCGTCATGTCTTCGGTGCCGGCGGCTTCCCGTCCGTCGGTTCTATCCTCAAACGCCGGGACACGGGCAAAATAAAGAGCTGTTGCGCAGCGCTTGGGCATCCCACACCTAATCTTACTCCGGAACACTTTTTCGTACTTTTACTCGGTGCATTGCCTTGAATTCCTTTGGTCTTTGTACGCCTGTGGGGCGAGGCAGCGTGGCGTGGAGGAAGGCACTGGAGCTTGGCTCCACCTCCCCGGTCTCGTAATGAAGTAGCCGAGTGACTCGGGCAAGTCCTAGCCTTGGAACAGCAGCGACGGGCTTGCCGCTTTGCAGGGCACCTGGCACACGTTTCTTCTCGTGATAACCGTAAAGGGTATAAGGAAAGGGCTTTTAAAATAAGCGTGCATGAAATACAGATGAATGTTTGTACCGGATAAACATGGTTCTGTACACGATTGGAGTGACTTGTTTCTAAATTGCAGTATTTTGGAGATATTTACGAAAGCTACGCTTTACTCTCTGATGAACTGGTATTTTTGTTTGTTTTAGGAGGATAAGATCAATGCCCTCATTAAAGCAGCTGGTGTAAATGTTGAACCTTTTTGGCCTGGCTTGTTTGCAAAGGTAAGGTGATAAATGGCAAAGTGATTTGGAAGACTTACTGAGGTGTAGGTGCTAAAGTACCTGTAAAAGTGCCAGAAGACCCTGTATTCCACTGTAACTTTTCTGTTTCGTTGCATTTACTCTCTAGGAGTTAATAAGGTTTCAGGTTGTCATGTCTTAGGTGGCTCTATCTTGATCTCAGACTCCGGTTTCTCTGTCCTTCTGTTCTAAAACCGGGATTTAAAAAAAAATCTTAACCAGGAGATAAGTATCACCCATGTTATTCCCAGCAAATACTTCCAGTATGATAGTCTGTAATTTAATATGGATTCAGTGGTCTTTTATTGACCACTTAATGTGTGTTGGAATATAAGACTAATAAAGACAGGGTTCCTGCCCAGGAACCTTGCAATGGCTACTTTCCACTGTACAGGTTACTTAATCTCTGGCAAGTGAAGCTAATAATAGCATCTAACTCTTTGGGTTGTGTTCGCTAATGAGTTTTGAAAAATGGAACACATTGTACCTATGTCATTTCTAATAAGTTCCTTTG